TCAATATATACTTGACAAACATGGTGTAAAGGTTTATTGTAAAACCAGTACAATAAGAAATAAGGTAACAGTTATGCGCACGATCGTCGCAAGTCAATCCAGTAGTGAGTGCTGCTATTGAAAGTTCGGTAGTTCTCGCGTAAGTCTGGGTCGTAATCAACAGATCCCAGCAAGTCGGTATTTACCTGCCTCCCCACAAGTAAGTATGTGGCACAAGGCCGAGTTTAATGTGGGTCAATCCGAGCCCGTAGGCTCGACCAAAAATTCCCCATAGCCCCGCATTTCGGCATAGTCTCGTCCGGGTTCCTCTCTGCCCGAAGGCAGAGAGTTCGACAACAGCTAAGAACTGAATAACAGATCTCAGCTAGGCAATATTTACCAGCCTCCCCACGAGGTAGGAATGTGGCATAAGGCCGAATTTAATGTGGGGCAATCCGAGCCCGTAGGCTCGACCAAAAATTCCCCATAACCCCGCATAAACGGGTTCGGATCTGTCTACCTCCCCGGACGAGTCCCAGCCCTTCGGCAGAGTCTCATCCGAGTTCCTCTCTGCCCGATTTTGGCTAGTCTCTGTAGTCCGTTGACTTACATATACTTATAGGTAGTTACTACCTATAGTGTAGTCACTCATGGTGGTGACAGGTTATTCCATTACATCAGAAAGTGCAAAATAGCAGTATATGCGGGGAAAAGTGGGGTTTCCAAGTTAACAAAGTTCTTGAGTAGATGTTTTGTAGAGAGAGATTTATCTGCTAGTTCCCACGAGGAAAATTAAAATTGTGAAAGAGAGCTGGCCGTAAAGGTAGAGGCCGCTGAAATGGAAAAATGGCAAAGAATTTTTATGAGTTCTGGTTGTAGCCTGCTAATTATTTCCGTTGCTGCTGCTGCTGCTGAATCGAGCAAAGTAAGGAAGCCCACACATGCCACAATAGCCAGCAACTGGCATAGTTTCTATAATTTTTGGTGTGTTTTGGTTAGTGTTTTTTCAGTTTCTGTATATGTTTTTATAGAGTTGTATTTGCATTTTTTTAAATGATATTTTGTGCAAATAGCTTCTCTGTCTCAAGAGACCTCTTGTTATTCTTATGTATTTTTCTGGTTTTCTTTTCGATATTACTGTAGCTTGGTATATTACTAATTTGCAGGCAGATGTATGAAAAAATAGGGGGAATATTTTGTATATTTTGTGCTTCAATAGTAATTAAGGGGCAAAGGTCAAGTTTACAGTCAAATCAATCAAATGATATAAAAATGTCAGTGCCTGCAAAACAAAGCAAATTGCAAGATAGTATAATAAAACGGTTTCAGTTAGTTCGAACCCAATATGCAGAGTGCGATGGGTAAATTGTCGCCATTTTATATTTTTAATTTCGCGCATGCGCATTGTATATTTTATTTTATTTTGTTGACTGAACAGTATAGTAGGATCATTTGAGCACCATCTGTGAGAAAAAGAGCACCATGACGCAATTCACTCCGCCAGAAATTTAGAAACGGCATGCTGTACTGTTTGGCATTCCCACCGGAAGCTCCAATTCAAACATTACAGAGTGTTTGGGTGTCCATCTGAGGACAGTGCAGAGGATTCGGAAAGAGTTAGATGCGTCTAATGGTGATTACGAAGATACGGCAGCTTGGGAAATTCACTTTGATTTTACTGATAAGAAGAGAACTCCCGAATTTGTTGGTGAGGGCCTCAGACACAACACGTTCGTCTACATCAAGTGTCTTGAGGAGATAGTGCTGCCTTGGTTCTAGTGGGTGGCTTCTGGAAGACCCCATGTCTGGTAACAGCACTCTACCACACAAGCAGGAGAACCCAGTCATGGCTGTCAGACAATTTTTGTAACCACATCACTCCTGACATCTGGTGGCCACCTAACTCCTCAGACTGCAACCCCCTTGTGTGATTGAAGCCAATGGCGATTTTATTGAATAAATTTACTCTTTTGTATTTCAAGATGTTTTTGTACAATTTTGGTATATATATATATATATATATATATATATATGTAATGACATTATTTTCATTTTTGAGAAATTTAGACGACAATTTATCCATCGCACCCTGTATTTAATTTGAAGGTATAAAATGTGAAGCTTCTTAATAGTTCTTCTGATTTGATGTGAGTTGTATTATATGTGACAGAATCCTTTCGAACCGTCGGAGTTCAGAGTCTTCAACGTTGATTTTAGAACAGTACTTGTTCTCTGTTGTGGGAATGACTATTTGTGTTTAGTAGTTCGGTTGATAACGAGACTTAATCCTGCCGTGAAAACAATAATTTGTTTGTCAAGACTTCGTTGAAGAGATGGCTTTTTCGACTTTATGCTCGGTCAGGTTTTCAGATATTTTGGAAGACGTCGCGTCTACTACTGCCCAGCGTCCTCCGCCAATACCCCGGTGACGCGTTTCCTTCTCCTGGCAGTAGCGTCTAACTCCTGTTGGCGATGCGTTTCCAACTCCTGGTGATGGTGTAATGCAGGGATTTTTTATAGCCATAGGTCGACTCCGACAAATTTTGGCGGTCAACACAAGTATTTCAGATTTCAACCGGCTCGAGTAGCCGTTGGTTAAAAAATCACGTTTATCAAAGCAATTTATTGTAGCAGAAAAACACTTCTGTTTTTTCTTTCCCTTTCTTTCAACTTCAATTGATCCTTTCCATTTTTTTGACAAGGAACCTTGCACGCAGGATGACAAGGTTCAAGTTTCAGTAAATTATTTTATTACCTTCATCCTCTCCCCTACACTACTGCGAACCGAAATTTATTAAGAGTGGAAAAAAGTCATTTTTAACAGTTTAGTGGGCATTCATATTTTTTCTGCAGTCACGAGTGAGAGTTGTAAGTGTTTGTTGTGTACTTGTTTTAAAGTAATACCGTTGAATATTGTGTGTACTTTGCTTGATTTTAGAAAGTGGTTATCAATAAGTTTGACAGTTACCGGGAGTTATCAGTTTGTAATTGCTCAACAGAGATATTTTCTTGTGTTGAATATATCTGTATATATTTATGTGATAGGTTGTTGTTGAGATATTATTGTGGTTGCATGATATTTTTTCGGATAAGAAATAGCGTAGTGTGTTGTATGCGACAAGAAGTCTCTTCGTTGGGAGGAAACGAGACAAGTTTTGCAACTATAGCATCTAGTAGCTGAAGAGGGAAAGGAGAGAGAGAGAGAGAGAGAGAGAGAGAGAGAGAGAGAGAGAGAGAGAGAGAGTTTTGGATCGCTCTTTTTATACTGTTTTAAGCTAAGAGATAACCTCTATTAGACTAGGCGGAGATCCGCTCTGTAAGCCAATAGGCAAGCATAATAGTAATACCAATAAGCCAGCGAACTACTGCTGGAATATTCGGTTAAGATTATCTTTGGAACACGAACTTAGATTATTTTTTGTTTTTATTTTTTAATGTTCGTAATTATTATTTCTTTTTTTCAAATAATATCCATGCGTTAAACTCAATTAAAAAATTAAAACTAAATTTAAAGTTCCTTGAATTTCTAATACATTTATATTTAACAAAACAGCCAAATTAATGATATATTACTGTTCTAATTTAATCTATTAATTAAAATTTTACAAAATATTTTTAGATTTATTTTAAATTTTGTAAAAAAATTTAAATTTTCGAAAGTAAACGCTGTTATTTGTTTTATATCTATTCGATAGAAATTCAACGATATGCATGAATATAATGCGGGACACAAAGTCAGTGTCCGGTTTAGTAATATACACATCTTGTAAACCGAACCCCCACATTAGAACCAATTCGGTGAATTGATCCTAAGTTAATTTTTCTCGTAAATGAAAACTTCCCCACAAAAATGAAGGTCATTTTCATGTATAGCAGAAAAGGTCACTGCCAGAAAGCTATATTTTTTTATAAAATTATCCACATTAGCTTAACCGAATCTTCAAATTTTTTTTTACATTCTTCGAAAACATGTACGTTTTTGTTTTTTTTGTCTAAAAAGAAATCTCGTTATTAATTCAAATACATATAATCAATTTCGCTCGAAGAATTTTAAATAACGACATGCATTAATTTTTATCATTTACAGAGAAGTCACCAAATAAACTGACGGAAATTTCCGTCATTCGCATTTTTAGTGTTTTTTTATTGCAAAAAATATTCGTGAGTGTTCACTGTGTTACATATGAAGTCTTTCGTTGAATAAGTAATTTAGAATCCAAGTTTCTCCACGCGGTAATCTACTTCAATAAAAATTATAAAATTATCTTAGTGTTACACTCAGGTATTTTTAATAAACATTTTTAACGGCTGTTTAATTACATTTTTTCTTGTTTCTCTTCAATCTTTCGTAAAACCGCCATTCTTTTTAAATAAGTAGAGATGCTCTATCTTCATATATTTATTTTTAAACTAGTTGATTTTTTTAGTTTAAAATAAAATTATATGCACAAAAAATGTGAAAAAAAGTGTCTGCTGGAATTATAAGAATAATAAGATGTAATTTTTTTAAGGGCGGTTATTTGCCGCGCGAGTTAGGTTGAGGAGAAATTTTATCGGATTTTTTTTTTTCATTTAAGAATATTATGTGAGAGAAATGAAAAAAAAAGACTGAAAAATTTAAAATAATTTAAATTAAAAATAAATAAATAAGAAAAAAAAGTGGAGGTGTTTAGTTTGTCTTTCCCGAACGGCAAAGCAGGCGACGGTATAGATTTTTTTTTTTTTAATGATTTTTCTTCTTATTCAAAACGAGGCCGTTGTTCGCTGCACGCCATTTTCAAGCAGCAAGGAAGCCGCCTTGCAATTTGTCTTTATTTTGTGGATACCTATTTGGAATTATTACACTCCGGTTTCTCCGAGGACTGCAGAAGCAAGCCAGGGGGACACTGGAGTGATTCACGGAAAAATTGGATCCTTCAGTTAAAAAGAAACTATAAGGAAAAAAAAAAAAAGAAACAACGACTTTTTTTTTTTTTAAAGGTTGCCGTGGTTGACTGTTAAATGAACGTACTTGCTCAAAAATGCTTTCAGCAAGTGCTACAAAGAGACAATTGGAATTTGGTAAGGATAAAAAAAAACAACAAAAAAAGGATATATAGAATTATTTTTAAATTTTCCTATTTTTTTCATGTTTTTCCATTTATAATTTTATAGTCTTTTTTTTTTTTTTTTTTGCTTAAAGAGAAAGTGCTTTAATGACTTTCAGCCGACTTGCATAAAAACCGCGATCCATTTTTTACCTATGGATCTTCAATAGCACAAAAATATTTACTTAAAATCACTATAAATAGTACTTCTAGGGATTTACAATTATTTTAAAACAATTTTCAATAATTCTCTCATGCATACAAATTTCTCTTTAAGCGTGAGTTAAAAATGATTATTAATTATTAAGATCGTTTTAAAACGTAACTCTAAACAAGAGTTAAAAATGTATATTAGAAAAATGCTAATTATAAATCGATTCTAGGCAAGAAATAATCCTTTTGGGCATCCATATAAATGGCGTATATCTTGTAAGAAGTGTTAGTTGACTAAAAATAATTTTATCTGGATTTTTCTTAATTTTTTTCGGAAATGGAATTTCTTATTACATTTAGAATCTTTGTTTTAAAATTAAGTGATTAATAAAAAAAAAATGTGGTTGCTGGTTTATTTCTAAATGATACAGTGAGTGAAAATAAATTGGAAGTTTAAAAATTTTATTTAATTGGAATTTATTAAGATTTTTTTTTTTTTTATTAAAAAATAATTTCTGTTCATTATTTAATTATTATAATTCGTGAAAATGGAACTTTAATTTTCGATATGTAAGCTAAAAAGCAGTTTTTTTTTTTTTTTTTTTTTTTTTAAATTTAAAAAAAAAATGTAAAAAATTAAATTTAAAAAAAATTGCTAATTATTTTTATCTTAGAAAAATGACTTTAGATTTTTTTGTCTCCTAATAATTTTGCTATAAAATGTTTTTAACTCAGAAACATTTTGTTGGTTTCCTGAATGAGTTTTGAATTCTCTTTTTAAATTTTCCTATTAATTAAAAATTTAAAAGTCGATTAAAGTTATTTATTTTACTCATTCTTGCTGTCTGGGGAAACTTTTCTGCTGTCAAAAAAAAAAAAAAAATTACTTTAACCCCATCCCGAAATTTGGACAAAGAACTTGCAAATATTTTTACAGAATGCCTCGAAACTCGAAGACGAAAAAACAATATTTTAAAAAAATTAGGTACTTAAAAACTAAAATACTAACTACTAAAGTTTTCTAAAAATGTCATGGATTTTGATTATAAAAAAAATAAAAAAATTTTAATTAATTAATTAAAATAATAATAATAAAAAAGAAATCCAGAAGTTTGTCTTATGGACGATAAGCTATTAGAAAGGTTCTTTTTATTTTAACATTGTAAGTAAAATGTAGTTAAAGAATGTATTAATTTTGTCTTAATAATACCGCCATGATTTCAAATATTCGGTGAGGGTGCTTCCCACACCCACTTCTACAAAAATTTAAAAAAAAAGAAAAAATCTTTTTTATTTTTTATAAATCGTTGTCATAATTTTTTTTTCTTTTGACTGAACCATTCTTTTCTTTGCATTAAGAAGCTGTAATTTGAGGTTTGAACTTGAAATGTTCATTATGGCTTTGGAAAAAGGGCAACACCAATTTATTGCTGTTTGAGTGGGTGGATGTCATACAGATTATTGGAACTTTATAATTATCTTGAAAGTAAAACAGAAACCCATACAAAACCCCCCTCTGTTCATTGGGTGTTAAAAATATAAATCTTCAAAACACGTGGATTTTTCTATATTACAGAAAGAAAAAAAAAAGGCACATGTCAGCTTTTTTTTTTTTTTTTTTTTTTTTAACAAAATATTTTTGTGGGGCCCGGGGTTGTGGTGGTTGCTTGCTCTTACAAAATTTGCATCCAAGGTTCGTAGATTTTTAATGCAAGCATGTTTTTTCCTTCTATAGTTTGGTTTGCTTTGTTCGAATATGACCTTCATTTCCTTCAATTTTTCATTTTCAAGAAAGATCTAATGAATGGGATTGATTTAAGTGGCTATGTAGTAGGGGTTCAATTTACAACATACGTATAATACCAAACTGAACCCTAACTTTGTGTCCGTATTTATGACAGTGGGTGTTTACCATCAAACGGAACGCATCAGTTTGTGTCTTTTCATACAAACGTGTGTCATTTTCAAATACGGGGGCCTAAAAAGATTAGAATAGGTGTTCCTTGTTATAGAAAACAAGAAAAATGTTTTTGTCCTTTTTTTTTTTTTTTTTTTTATCGACTAAATGTGATGTTTGTATAAAACATGGGCACAAAGCAAATTTTAAATTGAATTTCTCCTTCATTAAAAAAAAAACCCAAATTTCCCGATGTAATGAAGGTCATAAACACATCATACAAAAATCCAATCTTGTTCGGTTTAGAAATTTATTTTGTATTTAATTTAATAAAAAGACCATTTACTGTGATTCAGATTGTAAATATTCCTTTATTTCATTTTTATGTTTAAATTTGGAATATGAAAATAGTCTCTCGAGATTTCAGACATACTAACTCTGTGGATGTAAAGTGAAAAAACATTAATCTTACTTTTTTGCATAAACCTAGAATTGAGACAACCAACCCTCTGAGGTATTTTTTTCTGAATTGAGTTTGAACAATGGTTCAATTTTCGGATTGGTTTAAAAAAAAAAAGTTAGCATATCTCTCTCTCTCTCTTTTTTATATATATATATATATATATATATATATATATATATATATAAAATGAGCAGCAATCTCTCTTTTATATATGTTTCATTGATGACTGATAAGGCACTGCAATATGTATAATGCAATCTCCAATCAAGCAGTGTTTGCAGTTAACCCTCTCAGAAGAATCTGGAGGAAAATGCACAAATATTAGATCTGTTCTGTATTTTTAAATCTGAGCATCTTGAAATTATACTGCATTTTTTTGCACTTTGCTAAATAAGGTTTTCCGTGAATTTCTGACATTCATAGCTCCTATGATATTGCAGGTATAGACTTGAAACTGTGACAATAGTTACAATTTACTATAGATTATAAAAATATAAATAGCTTAGGCATGTCTTACGTATTTTTATAGGGACCTGAAAATAGCTAAAATGCAAAAAGATGCCATCCACTTTGAGAGCTTCTCATTTACAAAATCTATCAAATCCAGCATCCAAATTAGTTTTCCTGTCTTTTATGACTCAATAGATTATTTCTATGCAGTAACCATATTCATTCTTGGTATAGGAATGTCAGTATTACTGTTTGAAAATTGCTTTTTTGTTTTTGTATCTTTTTAAATTTGCTTATTTACATGACAAATAGCAAAGTAGTTAGTTTTAAATAATTTTTATATTTTTACTATATATTTTTGCATATCTGAAGACTATTTGACAAACTTCTATCTAGGTTTAAAACTTATTTTTCTAGAACAACCTGTCTGCCTTGTTTTGTCAAATTTGGTCCCATATAAATTTGATACTCGAGAAAATATGAAACTGAATGTTGATACTCCTATAATTTCCTATGTAAATACGCTATTCCTGCTTCATTCCAATTTTGTTCCAAGTAATTTAGATGCTCTGGGGCCCCTAAAAATGTTTTTGGATGGTTTAAAAAATCTTTAACTGGACAAAGAAACTAAACCAAAGACATTACAATAAGGGTTCCACTTGATAATTTAAATTTTAAATCAAAATAGTAAAAATGCATCACAATTTGCCCAGGTTAAGCAATTTTATTAATACTCAAAAATATATGCAAATCAGGTTCATTAATAAAGTAAAAATCACATTAATAATATTTTTCAAGTAAATAAATATTTAGGTTGAGTGAAAATAGTCAATCATTTCAGTGACAACTCAGAATTTTCACTAGTAGTTTTTAAATTTATGTGTTCAAAATTGCTAAATAGTTAATAAATTTCTTTCAAAGATGGTGGGGAATAAAATTATATCACTTGAAACAGAAAATTTCACAATTACAAATGTGTGTGCGGTCAGTTTTTAAGGGTTGACTTAGTTTATATTTCATATTATGAAACAATAACAAAAAACAAAAACTTATCTGTGGTCATTTTTTTAGTTGTATTACTTCAGGGTGAGTGAGATATTTTGGGTCACAAGATTATTTTACTAATGAAAACTTTTCTTACCAGCTTGAAATTTTACAGCTTCAAATAAATAAATCTGTCAATACTTAACATTTATAATATGGGACACATTGGCAAAGAAAAGATTAAATAAGAGACATCTTGATGTTTGCTTATATTTTGGGAAGTGGGTCAGGCCAAGAGCTTTTAAGCACAACTTGCCTGTGAACATTAATGTAAACACAACATATTGAATTAATTATCACCACTTCAATAAAATTATACCATGCACCAAAGAGTATAGAAGTGGAATACAAGCCATTCAAGCTTCAATGATTTTAAGTGGGTTACACACCCACATACTAGAAGAGTATGCTGAATAAAGTAACCAGTGTGTTTGTTTATAATTTGCTTAAATTATGGAGGAAGAGTTCTTGATATCAGATATAGTGTTCATAAATATAGTTGGTGGGATACAGGAATCAAGAATATACATAGTAATTGTCAGTTTTGCACTTGCGTGTGATCTTCAGACCAAATTTAATGTATTAATGGAAGAAGAGTATTAGAGATAGAATATTTATGGACATAGAAATCAACACTGCCTGATGATACCTACTCCTCTTAATTCTGAATTTCCTATTAAGATTGTTTCTGGCACCAAATGTTTATTCACATGATGCACCTTTTACTCTGTACTACAATGCCAAGGCAAAACATTCATATAGAATCTTTAATATAAAGTAGCAAAAAAGTTGGAAGATGACATTGCTCCATTCTTGATATTTAGGTTTTGAAATACTTGAATATCTAGGTTGAAAATTGCTCTTACTCCGGGGTGTGTATGGGGAGGGAGTTCAGATATCTTCCTCAGCCGAACAAAGAGTTAATATTGAATCTCTTTTTAAATTGGAAAGTTGCATAATAATATCA